GGAAGTCTAAGGTTCAACTCATGCATTCGCGTGCTGGTTGTTAAAGTTGGATGATTGTTAAATTCAAGTTTTCCAAAATAACACCCATAATATCCATTCTAAAGCCATTATTTCTTGAAAATTTAATAAATGAATCCATACAAGTCGTACTGTCTGTTGTAGATTACTTTAAATTCAAGTATACATTTTTTGAGAATAATTTATTATTTTGTTTCCAAATTAGAAAAACCGGTACATATTTGCCAATATCATCATATACCAGTTCAAGACCAACGCAATCCTAAAATTGATCAACACCGGCTCGTACAGCTTCAGGCCCAGCCAATCCACTCATTGATCATAGTCTTTTGAACATTGACACAAGTCAGAAGGGTTTGGTTTAGGTCAGAATGATGGTGTCCCCATATCAGGTGGCGGCCAATACCAGCCCACCAATCAGATCTGAAATATTAACCAGCCAACCTAATCTTAAAATACAGCCTGCCAATTGGATCTATAAATCTAGGACGAGTTTTAAAATTACCTCTTAACACCCCCATCTTCAAATCCAAAGCAATCTTTAAATGAAAGATTATTTATTGGTCAAAATTTTGAGGGAAGGGTGTTTCGACAACATTAGAATGGTGTTTTGTTGAGAAGCACTTCCTTTTTAAGTATGTTTGTCCTTTTTTTTTATCACTAGGCAAAAGCAAAACCCAAAGGCAGGTCTAATACTGCCTCAGAAAGGGCATGGAAGATCGATTATGGTGAACCTTGTGATCTAGCTCAAAAAAGGTTCAAAACCTATTATTCAACTTCTCTCATGAGAATATCAAATTTAACAATAAAGGGCACTCCTGATGTAATGGCATATGATATAGCCAACAATAAATTCACTTCACAAATATGATATAAGTTGCTATATATCTCTTGCTTAAAACAGTATTTATCTCCATCTCACACTTCGACAAAGAAACCCAAATGCTCTCACAGTCTCCTATCCAAACAAATAAAACAAGGTCCCTTCTAAGTAACATAAAGTATCTTCTTATAGGTAATTCGTCACACAAAATATCTAGGAAAATTTATACAAGTCCAACCATTTTCCGTTGGGGTCATCACCAAATGATCACCAGTGATGGAAAGCAGGACATTATTCCAGTCATAAACAAATAGACTATAGTTTTCACCTAATGCCCATGCAACAGTCGAAATTGGAAAAAAAACAATGGTACTAAAGATATGGTGAGAAGAATGCATTTGTTTCAAGGAGGGTTGGAGCATAGTTGAGTTAGTTTAGGGTTACTAGGTCACAGAGGGGAACAAGTTCAATAAGTTGGGAGCAGTGGGGGGAGTTTGGAAAGGGAGACTGGTTTAGGAGTGAGAGACTTGTAGAATTTACAAAGCGTAGCACAGCAACTACAGGCTCATTTCTTGATACTTGTTACCGAGTCTAAATTCCTAGAACTATGCCTCAACATAACCAAGAGTTCTAATGATCAAATTGACTGGATAGGAAAAAGGTCCGTTGGGAGGACCATCTCCAAAGGTCGGGGCTTCCATGTTTGTTTCACGCATGGGATTACCACCTTTTTTTTTACCATTTGCTTTGGCGCTTCCTTCACCACTTCGTTGTCTTCTAAGTGAGGTAAGGCTTTGGTGACTGATTTTATAGGCCACCAATTCATTGTTCTTGTTACCAAAAAGGTTGATTGTTTCTGGTGTATGTGTCCCTTACAATAATTTGTGTATTAGAAAGGGAGGAAGTTCAAGAGACCTAATTGAGCATTCATGGGGAATTACAGCAAGTTTGAGATGTCTTCTCAAGTGACCAAGCTCAAAAGATGTTATGCAATATAGAGAATAATATCTAGAATGCGACTAAGTTGCAATCTATATATTGCAAGTATGTCGCATGACAGTAGATTGTAGTAATACCACAAGATTCAAATAAACTTGTATTAGATAGTATACCCTCCTTGAATCCATTATCAGTGGGAGCTCTTTCAAGAACCTATGCATCAAGGATGAGTGACACATTCAATGAGTCTATTCTAGTAAAAAATGGAAGGATTTTCAAGAGTTAACTGCGATTTTGAAGAGTTAACTGGGTGGTAGATTCCTACATAACTCCGCCTTGGCCGTCTCCAAGCTAGTCATGCCAGTCCCAAGGCCGGATAAAAGGAGGAGGGTTGTGTCAGGTAGGGCAGCCAACATAAAACTTGGCCAAATCTTGTCATGAATCATGAATCATGAACCTATGAACAAAACGGCGAAACACGATTCATGTAGCCAACCCCGAATAGTTGGGATAAGGCTTAGATGATAATGATGATGAAATACATGGTAGGTTCCAATATAGTTCAATATAACATGTTTCTGTTTAGAACCTTAATTGTGGGGAACCATCTCATTTCATGTTATCAAATGTGATAATAAACATACATCTGACTCTTGTCAGCTTGTAGATATCATAGGAGAGATCATCAACGATCAACATCACTGCCAGAAAAGAGTCCACTGTTTTGTCTCTTAACTTTTCATCATGATGCTTAAAGCCGCTACGGGAGGAGTGAGCATAATGCCTTCTCCTTAGGGACAGAGTCACCAAATTGCCTCTGTCTATGTCTAGTCTCTGTCCATCTGACCAGTGGAGCACACAGATTTAAGCTTCTCGAATGAAAAGTAAATCATTTGAAGAAAGAAGTAACATTCCCTAGACATTACAATCTTCAAATTCCACATAATTCCAAGAAAGGGAAGCATATCGCCATGTACACTCAAAGCCAAAGTTTCTTTCTCTGCCAAGGAGCTGGAGGGAAATTCTTAATCTCAGAGTATTTCATTTTACTCTACCAGTGTGTATGTTCGTGTGTGTGTGTGTGTTTCTTAAGAACTCTTAAAGTATTACATTTAGTTATCTCTCATCTGTCTATAGTATATTGGAGAAAGTACATAATAAATTTTTCCTTAAACTGAATTCAATATGTTGGATTGCAAGAATCAACTAACTTCTAAAGTCTGAGTTGAAAATAACAAATTTAGTTACAAGGATATAGACATTTAGCATGTGTAGCAAAAATAGGAATGCTATTTTTCCTTGAACTACATTTAATAACTTGGATAGCAAGAATGTACAAACTCCAAAAATTTGAGTTGATGTTCACAAACATATGTTAGATATTTTGCCAAAATCGTTATTAGTTTATCTGGTCAATACTGCTTTTGTCGCAAAGAAAGTCTTGTCAACATAAGCAGAACCCAATCATGCACTGTTTGGAGGATATTACAACCAATGTTTAGACCTCAAAAGCATAAAATTTTAAGGGATTCTCTTCACAAGTCCTAGAAGCCTCTCATATAATATGAGAGTTTGCATCGTTTGCACATAATCTCATCTTCTATAATTGTAAGAAGTAAGACAACATTGCATGGTCATGTGCAGTTTCTAAGCAATGAACATATGCATAACACTAACAGAGCTCCAAATCTTATATGGCAGCAATTTCTAGTTTCTACTGAAAAATTTTAGCGTATGTAACAAAGACATATATCGGAACCTTTCGATGTCTCTAACACCAAGATGTGTCCGAAGCACATGCAGGCACATCAAACACACTAGTTGGAGCTTCAGAGAAATGTAATTAGGATCGTCATGACTCATGAATTTGTTTGTTTCAGAGAAGTTAGGATCACTTGTTGGATATCAGTACATGCATCCAAATTATGCCCATGCAACTTCACAACACCTTTCTTGTAAGGAGTGTATCCTTTGGAAGGTTTGTTTACCTGCTATTGAATGGCGACCCTCGAAAGAGAGGAATAACAGATATCAAAAATCAAATAATCTCAAACAATTGAAACTCTAGCTTGTGAAGAGTATATAACTAGATTCAGGACTAAACCATAAGAGAAAAAAGCGCCACAGTTAAGGAAAAGTTTTGTGGCAGTCAGACAATACATCTAATAAAGAACTCCCAAACCATCGCGTAAATGGAAGATAGAATGATGCAATGTTTCAAAAATTGATTCCTCCTCCAGTCCTCTTAGACCCCAAAGTTTTACTCTGAAACTCCATAGGAACCAGCTCCCTCAGCACATAGGATATTATAAATTACTACGGACTGGTTAAGAAAGTCTTTTATCATCTACCAGGATTTGTCAACCATCTTATTAGAAACATCCAATCTTTTGATTGGCCATGAAAAATCCATTGGTTACTCTCAGGGAAAAAAGACAAATACGGTGGGTTTTGCAGAAATCCAATGAAGGCAGGCTGGCACATTTAGAACAAATTGTCCACCTGTTCAAGAGGACTGCAATCTCTTAACATTATGTTAAGGCAGAAATCGAGAACCCAATGGATGTGAGTAGCCTTAGTGGAAGAGGGCTATGGGCCTCTACCCTGTCCATTGAGGACTCTCTTTGCACTATTTGATGTTATCATTGTTAACCTTTATAAATTTACCCTTGCCCACTTTCAAAATTTGCATTTCTTTATATTAGTTTTCCAAAGAGAATAATTACTGCATCTTTGTTTGTCTACACCCTCCTGTGCAATGAAAAGTACACACTTTCTTATGAATAAAAGACATGCTTGAACTTGATTAATCGATAGAAAAAATCTTACATTTAACTAAAAGATTCTAAACAATATGAACTATTAGAACATAACCATCAATTAAAAAGTCATAACTACCTTGTGTTTACAGACGTGACTACTTATCCGTGGATCTCAAATACAATCAAGCCAGTTGCAACAAGAAAAAGTAAGACGAGAGAGAAATGTCTGCTCATTCGGTAAAGTAAGCCCAGAGAATTCCCACATTAAATTATACATAAGATAAACAGCATGCCAAGTGTAAGATAGCATCTCAGAAATTGAAAGGAACCAGAAGACAAAGAATAGAATAGATTCAATTACCGAAAAAGCCTCGCATTCAATTCATAAAAAGTTAAACACATGTGACATTCCACTCAGAAGACATTCAATATAAGATATAGAAAAACGCACCCAAACAAGCCCACAAGGTTATATGTAGTATGTTAATTTCACATCAAACCTTTCTAGTCCACGTACATGAAGATCATAACCCAAAAAACAAGTAAAACCTCAAAAATTAGAACATATCCGATAACACCACTTCAAAATTTGCAAGTAAATTAGAAGAACAGAAACCTAAAACATACAATCAAGATTCTGTCCATATAAACCGTACTCTGATTCTAATCCAGTATTAAAAAGCTTCCCCCCCCCACAGAGTTACACTTACACATCTATGCCCATCTAAAAGAATCATCTGTTCCTCGATGCCGCCTCCTCAGCCTCTTCAGGTGTTGAAGCAAAGAGCTCAATGTATCGGCTACCAAGTGTCATTCGATCTTTGACCATCGCAGCTTTAGAATCCTCGGGGCTTGCAAACTCCACAAAAGCCTCACCAGTTGCCCTCCCCTCTGAATTAATCATCAAAGTGATATTATCTTCCGAGATATCAAACTCTTTAAAAAATTCTATGATGTCTTCTTTTGTGGCAGAAAATGGCAATCCCCTAAGCTTCAAAACCCCAGTGTGCTCCACTAAATCTTTTCCCTCATCATATGACCTAGCCCTAGGTGCACTTCGATGAGGAGGAGATGGGGGCCCATTTTTCGAGTCTGCAACTTCATTGGCCACTGCATTATAGTATTCCTGCCTCTTGCTTCGAAATACCTCAATATATCGACGCCCCATATTTAGCCTATTCCTTTGGAGAGCCCAATCAACCTGGACTGGAAGACCCAGAACCACAAAAGCCTCACCAGAGAACCTCCCCTTCTTGTGAACAAAGAGAATATCGATTATGTTGAAGCCATGGAGGAACTCCTCCACATCGGTCTCAGAGCAATTGAAGGGGAGGCCTCGGAGCCTTATAACAGGAAAAGGGCGAGGTTGCCCTATATAAGCAGGGGGATAAGGATTGGTATACATGAGACTTGTACCTGCTGAACTGTAGTAAGGATTTGTGTCGATGATCCTCTGGCGTTTAGACCCCATTTCGTGCCCTTCTCCACCCTCCATGAATTTCCTTCAACCCCCAAAAAAGGGAACAAAAAAAACCCAGAAACCAAAAAGATGGAAAACCCACCCGTTAATAATGGAGGACTACCCACCCAACAAAATCAACAAACATTTAAGAAATTCATAGTTAAGGGTTCTTCCCATTCCTTTCATTAGTTGGCTTTTCCCAATATCATGGTAATGTTTCAAAAGCAAGAATGAACGGAAGTGATAGAAATTGGATTTTTCTAGATCAAAACGCGAAGAAAGTTTGAAATACGAAAAGACTAATAAAAGGCTCAGAATCCATGGAAAATCCATTAATCCCACCGAAACAAAAAACATCACAAGATTAAGAGAAGTACCCTTAAATTAATAATTTCAGAGCTAAAAAATGGGGACTTATTCAATGTTAGTGAAGTCAAGAACCCTAAAAACGAACAGTAAAAAGTAAGAAAACCCCAAGGAAAAGCCCCCGGAGAAGAAGAAGAAACCCTAATCTTACCCTCTGGAGTACATTTTGAATAAGCCCGAATCCCCCTCTTCCTTTTCCCTATTCCTGAAAAAAGCAGTCAAGAAAACACAATTTGTGCCCTAATCAAGAAAAGAAGCAACCGGCTACACACAAGCGAATGAAGGATCAGATCGGTTATGGCCGCGTTCTAGGGCTTTTTAGGGTTTTAGTCCCTGGCAAAGCGGAAGATAGAGGAAATTACAAAATGAGTCCCTACCAACTATTAATATGACAAAGATACCCGTACAAATTAAAGGGTATGTGGACAATTTTAACCCATACATTACAACATAAAGTTGCATTTGTAGAAGGGTGAAGTTTCCATAGGGCTAGGCTTTATAAGAACAAAATAAAGCCTCACCTCAAACCCTCTTATGAAAGCACTTTGGGCATAAAAAAAGCTTCATGTCAACTCTAAAATCATTTTTTAACACCGACAATAAATTTTGAAACTTAAACAAAAATACAGATATGGAAGATATGTTAACACTTATTTTTAGGGAGGAATAGATGGCCTAGATGATTTGTTGCAATATGTACTATTTTGAGAGCTTAAAATCTTAAATTCTCTATGCTTGAATTGCTAATTTTTTATGAGTTATGAGGTGAAAAAATATATATTTTGAGTCTATAAAATAGTACATCTTGCAATACATTATCTAGACCATCCATTCTTAAGATTTTCATATGTTTATAGATCTACTTGATTTTAACCATTTTTTAAGTTTAAAATTTTGTAATTAGATATGAAAAATGGATTTTCAGATAATCCTAATAATTTTTTATAGCAAAATTACATGTTATGATAAAATTTGGAGGTGCGCTTTAATTGGATTGTTTAAGGTCGCAATCTTATAGAAACCACACCCTATTTTAAAACACATGTTATATATTGATATTATTTTACTATGAAATTATATACTATGTGACTATTTTTCTTTGTTGCAAGGATGTCACAATCACCTCCAATCATATCAAATTAGATGGCTTAAAGGTCACGAAGTTAAAAAAGAAAAAAATTGAATAGGAGCAAATGACACTATTATAACTGCTCGATTTGAAATCTGACAAGCAATATTGATTGTGATCTCTTTAATCAAAAAATAAAAAAAAGCTTTCTATATGACCCCATCCACATATATATTATATGTGGCACCTATAGTCTTAGCCATCAGATAGACTATTCGTCTATAACCAAGGTTCTGAACGCATATATCGCCTTTGCCTCAGTTGCCCAGTAAATGGAAGATTTGACTGTGCCGGTCCTCTAATAAGTGGCTAAGATGGCTTGAGTCACAATGTCATAAATTGGCTTTTAACCGTCAGTTCTTGATCGAACGGCTCATACTTTTTTATTTTTTATTTTTATTTTATAAATAAATTTAAAGAAAAATTTGGGGCATGCATAGATCTGACAGAAGAGCACATGATAAAAAATAATAATAAAATATTTTTGTTGATGGATAATTACCAAAATACCCCTAAAAATTGTAAGGGTATTTTGATCATTTATTTTTATAGAAAGTATTTATTTTTTATTTTTCTCGGGTTCACCTTAATTTTATGGTGGGATGCCCAAAATTTCATCCAAACATATTTTATAGAAAAATAAATAAATAATAAAACAATGTTTGACGTGACATTGGGGTTTGAACAATCATAGCCGTTCGATTCAGATCGAACGGCTAAGAAGTGAGGTCACATATAACTTATATGTTGTTGGGGCCACATAAAAACACTTCCCAAAAATAAATGGTCTCTTCATATATTTCTATAAGAAATATTTGGTGGCAAGTTATAATCACCTTCCATTTAATTAATGAATGCCTTTAATATATAAATTTTTAAATGTTATAATTTGGGTTGAACATAAATTTTCAAGTTATTGTAAGATTTCGGACACTTAAACTACATATTTCAACAAAATTTAGAGATGCACAAGTTATTGTAAGATTTCGGACACTAAAACTACATATTTCAACAAAATTTAGAGATGCACCTTACTTGTACAGTATAAGGTGGGCACCTTAAACAAACCTCACCCATTATTCAAAGAGAGTCAAGGAAGCAAAGATCTGAATAGAGATAGGAAAAGTGGGTTTTCTCACAATGGCTTGTACGGTATGAGAAAAAGCGATACACTTTTGGTGTCTCTCACAAGAATGTTCACATTTATATGGAAATATTTATGAGGTCATATTTGGATTTACATTTGGGAAAAGTTTATATAGAACTGAGGCTTCAAACAATCAAATTTGAACCTACATCAAAAAGTTTGCTAGAAGAGGTTGTTTTGATGCCCAAATATCTTCAAATTGATCATCTCGACATCAAGATGTATCGAGATGAGACAAAAATGGATTTCAAGTTTTGGAAATAGTATATTTTGTAACACATTTTAGACCGTCAATTTTTAAGATTTTCAAGTTTTCATAGATCTGTCGATATCCTCTATTTTTGAGCTTTGAACTTCATAAATAAATATAAAAATATATTTCAAGGCTATCACAAAGATTTCCAACAATGAAACCACATTTCTCGATACTATTTGAAGGTAGGCTCTAATATGATTGTTTAGAGCCTAGGCTCTATACAAACTGCACCATTTAGATTTCAGGAGGAGGGTAAGAGCAGAAGACAACCTAGGGCTGGTGGGCCGACCCCGCCATGTAAAGCCGGGCCTCAGCCAATAATTATGGCATGTGAGTTGATCACGAGCTTGATTCGAACAGCTATGACTGCAGGCACGCGAGGCTTGTCACAAGCTGAAGTGGGCGCAGCTTGGTGGCCTGGGCAAGTGAGGCTTGGACGAGGATTTCATGGCCCAGCTGCGCCCCCACTTCAGCTCAATTGGTTTTCATGAGTTTTAAGAAGTATGTAAAAAGTTTTAGAAAACAAGATTATCTAAGGGGAAAAGTTTATATAGAGCTAAAGCTCTAAACGATCAAATTAGATCCTATCTCAAAAATTTCACTAGAAGAGGTTGTTTTGATGTCCAAATATCCTCAAATTGATCATCTCGACATTAAGATGCATGTATACTACAAAAGAATGGATTTCAAGTTTTGAAAATAATGTATTTTGTAACGCATTTTTGTGCCGTCCATTTTCAAGTTTTCATAGATAAAGATGAAAATATATTCGAAGACTATCACAATGATTTCCAGTATTGAAACCTATCACAATGATTTATAATATTGAAACCACATATCTCGACACTATTTGAATGTAGGCTCAAATTTGATTGTTTAGAGCCTAGGCTTTATACAAACCGCACCCATACCTGAAAGGTGAAAATTAAGGGATTGTATACAATGAGACCATTTACATTTGATATAAGGTGGTCACAATTCCATAAAAAAAAAAAATATGAAGTGGTCATAATTCCTTACAACCATTTGATGTGAAGTTTGAGCTTGGTCATTGAAATAATTGCGGCCACCAATTTCACATCTAATAATCGAGATTATTGTGACTATCTTATACCAAAGATAAATGGCCTCATTCTACACTTCCTCAAAAAAATTAAATAGCATGCATGTAAACCAATAAAGCCCAATTGCTGGTTCTAATCTATCTTCCTTTCATGATAGTCGGTAGATACATTGATTAGTTCATATATAAACATTCAATAAACTAAGCCAATCCCGTTACGGCCCATTTGGTTTCCTGGAAATGGGTTTCAGGGAGACTTATTTATATGGAAACGATCCGTAAATCCTTCGGGGGAAAAGAGTCCCATTTCTGCATAGAAATTGATTTCTACATTTGATGTATTTCTTCTTTTTTTTTTTATGAAAATGTCAATTCCACCAAAAATAGGTAGAATTAATATTTTTGGAAGATCGATAGAGAGCCACGGCTCATAAAACTTCTAGTAGGCTATATTTTATAAAGTGGGTTGAGTTCCGCCGAAAGTAAAGACCTCAAACTATATGGTTATAATAAATATAATAATCAATATGTTAAAGGGTTATGTTAGGGTGTTCATATTATAGATTATTTTATAATTATGTTCAACTAGTTTTGAACATTTACATACTCTTGTTTTGTATATTGAGTATTGTTTTGTAAATATATTATTTTTATCATTAAGAGAGGTACGTTATCATCATCATGGGGTATGACATCACCTACACTAGTAGGATTTAATGAATTTAAAAATTAAAACATTTAGGGATTTTTTTTTTAACGTTTTTCTAAATGTTTTTAACAATTTTAAAATGTTCCAAAAATTGTGCAAAGTTTCCTACAAAAATAGGTAAAAATAAATTATCTTTTCTTCTATTTTTTATTACAAAATTATTTCTATTTTTCATTACCAAATTATTTCTATTTTTCATTATTACATTATTTAAACATTATATGAAACTAATTTTTAAAATTTTAAATACAAAAAATCAATCCCAGTTTTTACTTAAAAAATTAAAGCTTTATTTTCAAAAATCTTTGTTTTTAGTTTCCCAAGAACTATCATCGTACTTTTCTATTTATAATTAAAATTTTTAATTCTATTAGAAAATTATTTATTAACTTTCATGATTCTTAAAACTATACATGATTTTAAATATTTTATTAAAAAATTATAGTTGTTCCAAATTAGCATAGCAATTTTTAATGGAAAAAGTTTATATAGAGCTGAGGATTTAAATAATCAAATTGAAGCCTACTACAAAAATTTTACTAGAAGAAGTTGTTTTTGATACCCAAACATTCTCAAATCGATCTTCTCCACATCAAGATATATGGAAATGAGAAAAAAATGGATTTTTAGTTTGAAAATAGTGTATTTTGTAACGTATTTTTGGACCGTCAATTTTTAAGATTTTCAAGTTTTCATAGATATGTCGATCTACACTATTTTTGAAGCTTTAAACTTTATATATAAAGATGAAAATATATTTTAAGGCTATCACAAAGATTCCCAATGTTGAAACCACATTTCTCGATAATATTTGAAGGTAGGATCTAATTTGATTGTTTAGAGTCTAGGCTCTATACAAACCGCACCCATTTTTAATATATAAATTTTGTATTCCCATAAATGGCTAATTCTCCACCCACCCCCTCCCCCTCTCTTCCCACCATTTTTTTATATTTTCTCAACGGTTGTCCCGAGTAAAATATGCTGTACCTACTATAAAAACAAAACATGAGTTTTAGGCATCTTACATGCAAACGTTGAATTTATTATGCTTCAAACTTTCATTAATGACATATTCCTTTATAAGAGTTTTTGAAATGTAAATTGAGGTTATTTTAAACAAATTTTTATATTTATTTTTTATTTATGATCATTTCTTTAACTTTTTTATAACGAATTTCTAAATGCTCACAACTCTGATATTTTGATATAATTCTTTGGGATATTGAAATAATGATGTTTTAACTTCCATTTAATATTAGATAAGTATTTACTTACTGATATTGAAATTATATCATTAATTTCTTTTATTCTTTGATTTATTTTTATTGTTAATCTATATCTGCTTACATTTTATATTAAAATGTATTGTTGATTTATTTTTCTCTCTGAAGTGTTTTTATCATTCTTCTATATCTCATTATATTTATACGTGCAATGCACAAACTATTAAATCCTCAGTCACAACATATCCAACGTAATGCGCCTAACAGGGAAAAAAATAACAAATATGGATGGCCAATTTTTCTCGCAACCCATTATGACGGCTGTTACACCATTACTTCATGCTTGCTGATTTTCCAAGATAGGAAATTGTTTATATAAGTGCGAGGGTTTAAACAATCAAATTAAGGCACACCTCAAAAATTCTCAAATTGATCATATCGACCTTGATCCATAAACATGAGAAAAAAATGGATTTCAAGTTTTCGAAATATTGCATCTTGTAATGTATTAATGGCCCGTCAATTTTCAAGATTTTAAAGTTTTCATAAATCTGTTCAAACTATAATATTTTTGAAGCTTTAAATTTTATAATTAGAGAAGGAAATATATTTTAAGTCCATCACAAAGATTTTCAATATTGAAACCACATTTCTCGACAGTATTTGAAGGTGCTGATTGTTTAGAACCTCATTTCTATACAAACCGCACCCTATTTTTATTTAATTTCATAAATCCCATCATAAGAACATGATCTTGAGTTGGAAAGTTGAAAAGGATAAAATGTTGAATAGTTGTTTAAGTTGGGTGTGTTTTGATAAATTAAATAAAAATATTCGATAATTCTTCTTTAAGGTGTATTTTGATAAATTTCCCAACAACTGTTACAACTCTCCTGGTTCCTTCCAACCATATCTTCTACTCGTCCAGAGCAAGATGCAAGAAAGAAACACTCACAGGGCGTACAATGATTCAAAAAAAGCCATTGTTGGCATTGAATTGGAGAAGGGGTGTGGTTTGTATAAGGTCGCAACCTTAAACAATTATATTAAGACGTACTTCTAAATTTTAAAAATAAATATAATTTTGTTGTAAAGAATTCTTAGGATGGCTTGATAATCCATTGGACACGGTTTCTATGCAGCCAGCCCGCATATTGTAGAAATGTGGGCTTGACAATAAATATATTTTTTAAATATAATTTGGTCCCAATGTTTAAAGAATATATAATCTTTAACATGGAGATCATGAATATGAAAAAAAAAAAAACTATAAATAATAATTACATTAAGAAAACATTTGGACCATTAGTTACCCTTGTTTTTAGATGGACCACCTATTTGCATTCATCTTTAAGATGGATGCTTTATACCTCTGGACAACATATTGTACTAATGCGGTCCAGCCGGCTAGAAACAATTTTCCTATCCATTTTCGTCTCTAATTATAAAGTCTTAAACTCCAAAAATGGTTCAAATCAAGTAGATCTATAAACAATTGAAAATCTTGAAAATGGACAGTCTAAATATGTTGCAAGATGCACTATTTTTAGGATTAAAAATCTTTTTTTTCTTTTTATATTCATACATCTCAATGTTGAGATGATCAATTAGAGGGTTTTCCAACATCAAATCAACCTTTTATAATGGATTTTTTATGTGTACCTTAATTGTACATTTTAAGGTTGCAACTTGCAACCTTATATATAAACTTTTTCCTAGGTGAAGTTATACAGATTCTACAAAAAGTGGGCTTGAATTTTTGGGAGCAAAAAAGGTCACATTTTTTCATTCAATATAGCTCAAGAAAGATCTCATCCCAGGCTTCACTTATCCCACCATCCAAGAGTCAGGCCAGTTTAATCATGTGATTATATATTACATCCATACTAAAGGATGACCTGAATTCACTATTCTGCATATGCTCTAAAGAACTTTACGTATCCTGCATCCGTTAAGAATGTCTCCTTTAATTATCCAATTCATGGAAACATACCTTCAAAAAACTCATCAAAATTATCTTCATCACTATCAATTTTACGATCTCTTGAAGTTGTAGCCTTTTGTCCTGCAAGGGCAACATAAAGTATGCTATCTTCAGTTGTACTGCTCATAGCTACACAAAGGACCGCATTTTCTTCAAAATCCTCGTATAATTCCTCGAGTGGCAAGAGGCCGGGCCTGGGTGAGGCCAGCCTTGCCCCTGGCCTGGCCCTGGTCCCCATAGGGCTAGTCCAGGCCTAGGCCCTGCCCTTGTTAGGGTCGAGACAGGGCAAAAACAAATGAAGAAAAAAATAAAAGAAAAAGCAAGGAAAGCCGGGCCGGCACTATCCCTAGCCTGGCCCTCGGCCACAGTTTGTGGACCAGGCCTAAAGGGCAGGGCCAACTGGGCTGGGCCGCCTAGCCCATTGCCAGCCCTAAAAATTCCTTAATGGCAAGCTTTAATGGTGAAAGAAGACATAAAGGTACCGATTGGTGAGTGGTACAAGCGTGAAGGGGGTGATTGTTAGTTAAAACTGCCCCAAGTTCAGCAGCTTTGAGTAGGTCAAGAATATGAAACTCTCTCTCTCTCTCTCTCTCTCTGTCCCATACACACATACCCACACACATTGTTAGTTGAAACTGCCCCAAGTTCAGCAGCTTTGGGTAGGTCAATGCAAGAATAAGCTCTCTCTCTCTCTCTCTCTCTCTCTCTTTCCCCTCCACATGCACATAGGCTGGCACACACGCATTTCACATTGGCTATTGACAACTATGAAATGTTAGAAGAAAACAAATGGACAGACATCATTTTCAATGGAGTAATACAAAGGCTGAAGCCATACCTTTTTTAGTTTTCCCACTGCTTTGATCACGTTCGCTATCACTGTTTTCTTCTTCCCTAAAAGAAGAAGAAAATAAAAAGTTCTTCAAAAACAACTAAAAGATAATAAACTTTTGGACCCAGATGAAAGACAATAATTTTATCAATACCTCCTCCTCTTGCGGTTTTCCTTCTCTCTCTTTTCTGATTGTTTTTCCTTTTCTTTCCACTTTTTATACATCAACTTCTCTGCACACCTGCAGAATCAAAGCATTAGTGAACAGTATGATATTTTTCTCCAACTGATTTTCCCATCTGGGAAGATGGGAAAAGAATAGTTTCTGCTACAACCACCATTTAAGGAAAATGCAATAGAACAATGTATAGCTTGTCATGAATTGTCAAGTACCCTAAATGTAATTCAATTTCTTCTAATGACTAGATTATTCATCCATAATGTTCCACATGAGTAATCCCAGTACATTTTTGTAACTGAATACATCTCATTGACAGGAGAGACAATCCTCAAGGAATTAACATCGTATAAAACTATGAAATGAGGCATCATATTTCATTATTCTTCACAGTTCCTTTTTCTGATGAGTATGAAAAGATCAAGTTCACACACTAAAAATATCAGGCAAATTGAGAAATCAGAGATTTCAGTTTGTACGCTAAAAAGACACTTAAACTTTGAGCTGATCACACATTAGTCAAAAATGTCACACAAGAAAAATTTTCCTCATTGGCAAGTAAATATCATTATCAATAACAGAATAGGAGTCATGTCAAGTTGCTTGAGGAAACCAAAGAGAGAGTAGAACGACAAAAGAACAACTAGCACCAGAGAAATTGTCAGAAATGAGGATAAAAATAGATTAAAAAGTGCGTAAAAATATGAAACGCAAGATGAAGAAAACTTAGTTATTGACCTCCACATAAAGAGCTAGCAGAAAAACTGCCTATGTAGATGAGAATTAGCACAAACCCTGCCTATGTAGATGTTAACTAGCATTACGACTAAAACTCGTCAAATCAACAATATAAGCAATTGACTGCGTCATACTCCATTGGCTATACATACACCCACATGAGTCCCTGGTGCTCCCCCTCCCAGCATTACGATTAAAACTCGTCAAATCAACAATATAAGCAATTGATCGCATCATACTCCCTCGGCCATACATCCATTTGTGTACACATGTATAGGAGTTTGTCTGCATATGCTTATGTGTGTTGCTCAATTCTATTTTTCAAGGTGTTGACATCCCAAATCCCCAACAACCCAGTACCTGCATCAGCTACAATGATGGTTGACATCAAATACGTCAATCATGTCACCACGTAAGGGAGTATTTTCGCTTCAGTCCCATCAAGTAGAACATCCATTGATTCAGTAGGTGTCTCTAGCAGTTGCGCGTTTTCTTTGCTTTTTTTAGTGTTTCATAATTCACAGGAAAGTTGTTTGCCTTATATTTCTGCCATTTGTATTCTTCCCATCCATATACAGGCTAAGGCACAATATATTTTATGCACTCTCCTTAAACTTACTTCTTGTTCTTTTTGGCAGGCATGATGGGCATAACCTCAATGTTGCATAATCACCCTCTTAATTGTTTAAACTTTTTCTTTGTTTAAAGAAAAGGAAAAAAATATTTTACAACCTTTTTGTCTGCCCATTTTTGTCGACCTAGGCATGTTGGACATTTTCATTAATAACAATGGGGAAGAAGAATCCAGAAGCTTCTCCCCTTGATGGGATTTTTGAGATCAGATCCCATCAGGTGTCCTTTTTCACATTAAGGATAAAACCTTGAGCAGAGCACTTCTAATGCAATAACATATTCATCGAGCCTTCTTACATATTTTCATGCATGAAAATAAAAACCAAAAAAAAAAATAGACAACAACAACAACGCATTGTCCACCAACTTTTTATTCAATGCATATGCACATCCACATCCTGCACCAACTTATTTCCCCAAGCTAAGAGCCCCCCTCTAGGTCTTTAGAGTAATATTACTCCCTCGAGGGCATCTTCCTTTCTAACAAAATATTACCAACTGACAAGTATTATATGCTAAAAGCAAGGGAATTAGCAATTAATCTTCAAGTCACGGCTATTGAATATTTGAATCAAAAGGCTTCTTATTCATTTCAAGTTTCCAAAATCCATGGGATTTTATTATACACCAGATCAAAGTTGTTTATGGCAATATTAGCATTTCACCAAAAAAATTAGTAAAAACCTCAAGGAAAAGTCAATTGTTTACAAACACAAATTTCAGCAATAATCTGGACAAAGGACACCAAAAGTATGCACCATGCACACATGGTACAGAAATCCAAAGTAAACTTTTAGTTGACTATGAAACATATAAGATGTAAAGAAAAGGCTTGGAGAATAGAAAGAAACAAAAGAAACAAAAAGTAAAAACTAATATGTTATGTATTGATTGCATAACACTCGTGATATGATATTTAAGTGAAAAGCTCACTTCCTACCTCTCACAAGCTACAAGTTTTACAAGTGCTTGCTTGTTTTCTCCAGCTTCCACGTAAGAGAAATTGACCTGCAATGAGAATAATAGCAGACTATAACAATCATTTGCTGACATGAAACCCTCAGCAACAAAGATACCAAAACTTACACCAATCCAATAAAAATTTAAGTCACAACAGGATTCTTATTGTCCAATACTAAGGGATTATATACACTTCAAACTTTAATTGTTCTCTGAACTGAGACCCTAGAAGATGCCACGATTTACATATTCTGAAGTGTCGATTCAAGCAACAAAATATAATTCAAGACAGGATCTCCTTCACATAGCACATTACAGGATGGCCTTCACATAGCACATTATATAAGTGGAGCTTTAGTTTACACAGTCCATAAACTTCTGCTGTATTTACACAAAAAATGGAACAAAAGGGATCCCCAAGGGGGACAATAAATGACACGAAGAAAAGGAAAAGGAAAAAAAATAGTAAATATCAAGCAAAGAAAAAATATCTTCCGAAAATACAATACTTCAACTATGAAAATATATCAGTACAAAATTATTCTAAAAATTGTAAACGTGCTTGAGTTCAACACAACAGATGATTAAATCTTTTTATTATGTTATGCAGTAAAATATTTGGCTCCACCAGTGTTTCAAAAATCGACGAGTCGCAACGGACTTGCCCGAGTCGACACGGGAATCGGTCACCCCGTGTCGATTCTTGTGTAATACTGGGAATCGCCCGGTTCTAAATGAGAATCGCCGATTTTGAACAGTATGACATCATAAACAGCGATTCCTAGTGGACAATGACGTCACGGGGTTGGCGAGTCATTGAGGATGTTTTGGTAATTTAGCTTAAAATTATGGACTGCAGGTGGACTTCCGCACCTCTTCTTCATCACATTTGCAATAAGGGCATTTAAAGAGGTATTTATAGCGTTGAAAGTTTCTCTAATTCTTTGATGTGGGATTTGAGCCGAGTGATATAATGTTGAAACGTTATTCAATATAAATATTAAACAACCTACAATAGGTTGCCGTGGTTAGCATTTGTGGTTCTTCTTCGGACGTCCCAAGGTCGAACCCTGGGGACGCTATATTGCATTTTTACTTTTGCCTTCAAAAAAAATTATTGTATTAAAAAAAAAAAAAACTTTTGCCTTCAAAAAAAGTTATTGTATTAAAAAAAAAAACGAAAAAAGTAATATCATCAAAAAAATAAGGGTGCAGTTTTTTGTCTTCAAAAAAAATTATTGTAATATCATAAAAAAAATAAGGGTGTGATTTGTATAGAGCCTAAGCTCTAAACAATCAAATTAGAGCTTGCCTTCAAATAGCATCAAGAAATGTGGTTTCAATGCTGGCAATCTTTTTGATAGTCTTAGAATATATTTTCATCTTTATTTATAAAGTTTAAAGCTTCCAAAATAGTGTTGATTGAGAGATCTAAGAAAACTTGAAAATCTTGAAAATTGATGGTCCAAAAATGCGTTACAAAATACACTATTTTCAAAACTTGAAATCTATTTTTTTTCTTATGTCCATGCATCTTAATGTCAAGATGATCAAAGAAAAAATACGTTTTACTTAAAAAAGGTAATACAACATCTTTTTTTTCTTGCAAAAAAAAAAAGTAATAAAACAAGTATTTCTTGACAAAAATATAAAATAAAAGGTATAAAAAATAAAAGGTACTTTGGCAGCATCATTTTCTTATTTTCTTGTAAAAAAATAAAAAGCAATATGACAAGCACAAAAAAAGGAAATACAACATCTTTTTTTTTTTTTGTCAAAAAAATAAATAAAAGGTAATACAACAAGTATTTCTTGTCAAAAAATAAAAGGTATTTCTTAATAAGACAAGTATTTTTAATACAACCTAGGAATAACTGATCTAATTATAATTTTTATTTTTATAACATGGTAATCTTTAATATAAATTTAGGAATATTAATTTTAAAATAGGGTTCATACAATGGGACCATTTGAAATCTCTCTCTGTCTCTACTAACAATCTCTTCCAATAAATTTATTCTAGAAATCTAAAAAATTAAATTTTTGAAAATGAGAGTGTTATTTTGAAAATTGGTATGCATTCTAAAAATTTCTATATTGATAGCCAAATATTTTATTTTATTATTAATTTATTTACATTATAAATCATGTAATGCACTATTTTTCTTACAGTTGTCAATAATACACTTTAAATTAGATGATATTATAAGATATTTGGAATTTGTTATTATTTATATAATAAAATAATTATAAAATATAAACAAACAATTTCAATTTCAGTATATAATATTGTAGTCAATTAGATTGTAATAATTTTGGATTATAGTTAGTTAGGTTGTAATAATTTGGGTTTTTTTTTGGCGGATTAGGGTTTTCTGCCAATTCAAGATTTTAGTGGTCATTTTTTCATCGATTTAATCCATTCTTTATTGTAGTCTATGAATGATTATATACTTTATCCATGATAATTTTTTTTTTTTTTATGTGATGTAAATTTAATGGTTAACATAAGTTCATACAAGGAAAACCATCTCAATATTCGCAAATTGATAAAAAAATGAAAGTTAATAATGTAATACACATATTTTTTATTGGATTCCTAAAAAAAATTATTTATAATGAATTTTAATAATTTTTTTGGATTTTTTTTAGGGTTTAATGGGACCGATTCGGCCGATTCCTGATTCGGATCGCCGATTCACCGATCCGGATGGGTTTTTGGGGTGCCCAATCCGGGGCACCGATCCGTTTTTTAAAACACTGGGCTCTACTGAAGATTTAACTATTCATCAATAATAGAGAGACAATCTTTGACATAGTAACAATAATATTACAGTTGGGGTGGCTGATCTAGAGTCCATGCCCAACCGAAAACCTGAAAACATAATTTGCAATGCAGTTTTTATATATAGGTCTGATACAAGGTTTCAAGTAGAGAGAGCAAAGTCACTAGAATGGACCGTGCTACTCCTTCCTTGTAGATCAGCTGGGAGGGTTCAAACCCTCAACTGCAAGGTTGCAACATTGAGTGCCTTCCGGTTGATACGATTGAACCAATGGCCTTAAGAGACTTAAAGACTTTGTACTAGTGATCATGGGGACTGCAGATAGCAGGAAAATCTAGGGCCTTGGACGAAAGGGCTTTTGGACTAATGTCAACGAATTGTTAGATGTTTGGAGTACCAACAAGTGGTTTCAATTGTCCAAATCTAGCTTAAAATAGCTAAAACCAATATCCTGACATTCACGAAGATGAGGCTATTGAAATCACTTCCTTTCAGTTAAAATGATCATTTAACAATCAATCATCTGAATATAAAGCTCTGCTTTTTAGTGTCTGCTGGCATTGAAACCCAAGGACAAACTGTTGTAGACCAGGTGCATTAAACACTAGGCCAAGAGGATAATAGTAAGTCACTATTAAGGAAGAAATTACAGCGATCTGTATCATCCAGCACCAACACCAAGGCTATGTTGCACTTTTATAAAAAAAAGATTGCATACTAAGTTGAATTTATTTGCATTTTGAGCAACATAACTTATTCCTCTTGATTTTTTTAACAACATGTTCCAAATAACCTTGTTACTTGAGCAATGATCCCACCAATTCATTATACTTGCATCACAAAAGGTAGCACACAAATTCAGAATAATACATGCCTCATAACTTGAGAGACCCTCTTTCTCGTCGCATTTTCTATTACCACATATGAACTGACCTGCAGAACAAAAGGCAAAGCATCAGTGGAGTTTTAATTCTTATAAGAGTGGATCAAAAACTGTATTTTCCTTTTAAAAAAAGAAAAGACATTAGTTTTCCTGGATAAATGCTTTTTAGGAGTGACTGCTGATAACATCAGGTTCAGGATGTAAGATATATTCCATGCATAAGGCTTTTTACAGCATATCATGCACAAAGAACAAGACAACAATTAGGACCTTCACCATCTTCAGAGAAGGATAAATTGTCAATGGAAAAACAATAAATCTTGTTATAAAACTATATCCATCAGCATATCTTAGACTTAACAGTGCATCAAAAACTATCTTTTCCTTTTAAAAAAAGAAAAAAAATTAGTTTTCCTGCATAAATGACTCTTTAGGAGTGACTGCTGATAACATCAGGTTCAGGATGTAAGACATATTCCATGCATAAGGCTTTTTAATGCATAAGGCTTTTTACAGCATCATGCACAAAGAACAAGACAACAATTAGGACCTTCACCATCTTCAGAGAAGGATAAATTGTAAATGGAAAAACAACAAATCTTGTTATAAAACTATATTCATCAGCATATCTTAGACTTAACAATGCATTAACTGGATGATATTAGGTAGATGATATCTTTCAATTTTGCATATCAAATTACAATGTGTGAAATTAACATTCTAAAACAACAATGGAGATCAAATATCTGCATACGACAGCATATAATGCAGAGGGTTTTATCTAGCAAATAGTTGTGTTATGTGCTCTCGGGAGGAAGAAAACTTCTGCCTATTTATCCCATGCAGAACTACCTCCTGGTGTTGATCCAACGTGCTCCAAGAGTTTGGATAGCTCCCCAATCGGTTACACAACTCTACCAGGCCTTCCAATCTCCCCTCTTACCGAAAGCCGGACTCTTCCTTTGGGGGACTTCGACGGCGGCCACACTACGGTCTATTCGAAAAGAGCACAACAAGAGGACTCTCCAAGTCTGTAGCTCCAACCTCAGAGCCATTTCGGACCACACCGTTTTCTGGGCCAAGGCCAACAGGCTCACAACTTCCCTTATCAACAGCTGGCAGGATCTCCTCACACTCAATCAGTGGTCACGTACCATAACTCCTTCCTAGTCCCCTCCCATTGAAGGAACCCTAAAGTTAAATACCGATGGATACTTCCTGGGAAACCCTTGCCCGCAAGTATAGGGGGTCTTCCTGTCTTTTTCCAAACATATAGGTATCTCTCCACCACTGCAGAATCTATAGGCATTCTGGAAGGGCTTCGAAGGGTGTCCTCCGAATTTAGAACAGTAGTTTCATCCCATAGGCATCACACAAGGTTGAGAGCCCTTGGTGTCTCCATCAGATTTTTTATAACTTTCACTCTTTGTGCAGAGATCTCAGGGTGGCCTTCCCATAGAAGTGCTAACCAGGGTGCGGACTCTTTAGCAAAGCTAGGGGCAATCAGTGCAGCCAACACATCAAACTAGCAGGTAAGACATCTAAACCTACCCACTCCTTGGCAAAAAACCCAAGCCCTCTCTTCTCCAATCCTGCATTTCTCTCAGGCCCAACTTTCACCTTTTCTATTCGCTATTTTTTTTTTTTCATTAGTCCCTGGCCCCTGCTTCCTCATATATCTATCCTCCCTTGTTCCCATACACCAAATCTCTATCATCAAGCACATCTCCAGTTCTCTTACTCCACATCTTTACGACCAAGCACATATAAGTGCCCCACCTCCACAAGTTTCCTTTAGGTGCTGCCAAATTTCACATTCTTATTTGGATCTAACACCAAGCAACAATACTCCTCTCAGACCTTAGTTCGTGTCTCTATCCTCTAAACTAATCTACTACCTCAACTCTTACCAACTCACCTTGAAAACCTCCTATTACTGTTCCCTTGTTGGGGCACTCATTCAAAGGTTATAGAGCACTTGCATTTACAGGAGGCCTACATAAATTCATTATTTGGAAGGTAAAATAACTAGGAAAAAAAAGGGAGGGGGAAATATATAATTAAAAAAAAAGTAAAAAGAAAGGAGAAAAAAGAAAAGGAAGAAAAACGGGAAAAAAAGAAAGAAAGAGAAGAAGAGCAAAGAGAAAAAGAAAAAGAGAAAAACGTTATAAGGGGACCTTATGAACAAAAAAGTAAAGTTGCAACTCAAATCTCAACGAAATTTGCAGTTCCGATGTCAGAAAACCTTCAAATCAATCATCTCAACCTTCACCATTATAGATGTGAAAAATAAAAATAAGGATTTCATGCCCTTAAAAAGTGTATATTATAACACATTATCTAGACTGCCCAATTTCAAGTGTTCAAGGATCCACAAGATTTACACCATTTTTGAGCTACAAATTTTATTATCGATGATGAAAATAGATTTTAGAGCCAACATAGGGTTTCACATGCCCGAAATGTTTTAAAGACAAGGTTTTGAGGTGAGGCTTTACTTTTTTTCATAAGCTCTATGCCCTATAGAAAGCACATCCACACAATATGTGTGTGTGTATGGAAATAGATTTTAGAGCCATCCTAGGGTTTCCCATGCACGAAATGTTTTAAAGACAAGGTTTTGAGGTGAGGCTTCACTCTTTTCATAAGGTCCAGACCTTATAGAAATGACATCCACATAATGTGTGCTTGCATGCATGCGAGGGCGCATATGTGCATGCGTGTGTGTGCGTGCATATAACTAAAAAAAAAAGGAAAAAAAAAACTAATAAAGAGGAAGGCTAACGGTGAAAAGGGGTAATTAGTGTGTGTGTAGGGCAGGGTAGGCAACTATCCACGCCTACTGTCTTGGGGTAGAAGTAGTCATAGCAGGTACGAGCCTAAAGCGAAGGGCTTCTACCCTCTTTAGCATCACTTATGCAGTTCACTCAACACTCACTCTGTCACCAACATTGCAACTCTCTTAAACACCCCCAGAGGATGTTTTTTAACATAGGCCGTCTGGAGTTTTATACATCCTTATCTATTTTTCTTCTCACTCTTTCTCTTACTCTAATTTACTTTCACTCTTTCTCTTCCTCTTTTCACTCTTTCTCTAACTCTAATTTTCTTTTCACTCTTTCTCCTACTCTTTCTCTAACCATATTTTTCTTCACTTTTTATCTCTTCTTTTTCTCTTTCTCCACACTCCTTATTCAGTGTCTTCTCCCCCTCTCCGTCTTTACTCCTATCATTTAGGCGTCATACTTTTTGTGTAGAGGTCCTTTGGGTAGCCATTTCAGAGACTTTTGTAACATAGTCAACCAATCATCTGTAGCATCGACGTAGCATTGGGAGAGGCAGCAAAACACCAAGGAGTAGCTTCTTCAAAAAGTATAACTTTGAAATGTCTATCTCAGTGAGACTGCATCCCTATCTTCTTGCCCTCTCCTCTCCTCTCTTCTAGCCTCCCCCCCTCGTCCATCCCTTTTCCCCTGTTGCTCTTATTATCCTAATTCTTATTCTTCTACTTTGCTCCTACCCATCCCAGGTATACACACTTAAAACAAACTACTGTCCATCCTGTCTTCATCCGCTCATGACCAACCCCATATGATCAACCTCGTAGGCAGGAGCCCCGATGGGCTTTTTTTTATAGTAGTTCAACTGTATATTATTCTTGTACAGGGTCCTCTATGGGCATTTTTGATAGAAGTTCACTACTATTTTGTTGGGTGCACAGGAACCCTCTTTTGTATAGAGTTCCGACTTGTGGGCAGCCATTTCTTGTTATTTACTTAGCATACTTCAATTAATACGGTCAAGTATTCCCTCAAAACGACAAAGGGGGGAGAAAAAAAAAAGACAAATCATGACATACGCCCTGAGAAACCTTCAATTGATGGATATTTCAATGAGAATACAGAAGGAAAAAGAGACAAGCACCAACCAAATTATAGAATTAACTGTTTACCAAATAAAACTACAGAAATATCTAGCCAAAACATATATCACTACATAATTGGCTAAAGGGAAGACATCACTTTTCTCTGATCACCTTTGCCAGATATGACTTCCTTTTCAGTCCTCCACCTAAGACCGATCTGTCCAAACAAATTCACACACTTGGAGTAAATTTTTGGAAAACCTCATCTGAATTGAATATGGTGCATACTTCTTTAAATATGGTGCATATTAAACATCAAGAGAAGAAGAAAATATCTGCAAATGAGGAAAGCAGGAATTCAGAACACATGTCGTTGTTCTGTTTTCTTTTTGTGCCAAACTAAGAGAGCAGAAAGACCATTCTCTAACCCATATGATGTAACAGCATACTTAGCTCATTCATTTAGCAAAGAAAATTGCCCAGAAATGTGCTTACAAGTTAGTGCCTTGTCATGCAAGTATCATTCTTAAGTCCAGTTAGAGAAGGTATTATAATATCTGTAAATAAAATAACAAGAAGAAAAGTGCATGGTCTAATAAAAGAAGGAAAAGTTTATATAAGGTTGCCAACTTTAAATGTAGAACTACGGATGCACCTCAAAAATCCATCGGAAAAGGTTGTTTTAATGTTGAAAAACCCTCTAATTGAGCATCTCGTCATCGAGATGTATGATTATGAAAGAGAAAAGGATTTTGAGTCCCACAAATAGTGCCTCTTACAACACATTATCTAGACCATCCATTTTCAAAACTTTTCATATGTTTATAAATCTACTTGATTTTAACCATTTTTGGAGTTTAAAATTTTATAAATAGATATGAAAATAGATTTTGAGATAATCCTAAGAATATTTTACATCAAAATTATATGTTATGATCAAATTTGAAGGTGCACCTTAATTGGATTGTTTAAGGCTGCAACCTTATGGAAACCACACCCATAAAAGAATGCTAAGGCAATATCACATATAAGCAACAGGGACAGACTGCAAGACAAGGCAATATCACACATACCTTGCCTTTCTTGTATTGTGACATGTCCGCGATGCAGTATCTTCACCAAGTTAAGGTCATGCAATAAACTACTAGTTGGTTGCTGTCGAAATTAATCACAATGCATCTTTCTCAAAGAGAAATAATATAGCTCTCATGCATTAAAAAAGTAGACTGCAAGGTATCACTTACAACCCATGGAGTACCAGACTCTGTTCCAAAGTTGCAGAAACATAAAGTTGAGGTTTCCAAACCCTCGACCATAGCCCTTCATTTCTTACCCAGCTTAAGCACTATTACTGTTGAGTCAATCATGTCACTCACAGTAGCACGTGAGCTAAAAACATAATCGATGCAAAATTCTAAAGTTTAGAAAAGCCACCAGCAGAGCTGCTCAATTCTAAGAACAAGCATCATTTATGTTGATAGTTCCCACACTAAGCTGGCGGAGCGCCAGCTCTTGTATGTTATCTTAAATAACATATAATAGACACATATGTTCAAACCAGTGTTTTAAAACTCATCAATAATCTGCTAGATCGATCCGGATTACTGATCTAGGCTGGATAGGACCAATTCTCAGATGTGAACATTGGTCCTAAAAAAATTTAAATTATACTTTTAATATGAAAAGAAAAAATAATAATAAATAGCACGATTCGTCCGATCTGGATTGGCCGGTTCTCTAACAGACTCACCCCATTCTCTAACAAACTAGCCTGGTTCTCTAATGGAATTGGGCGTGGCGAGTCGGTCAAAATTCGGACCAATTCCTGGTTCCCGCTAGGAACAGGGTTGGTCCCCATCAATTCTTCACCAATGCCAATCCGGATGAGCATTTTTTGAATCACTGGCTCAAACTTCAAAACATGTATATATGCAACACCATGGACAACGAGCAAAGATAGAAAGAACACATTGTAAAAGCCGAAGAAGAAGAACAAGTAACCAGAATTGCAGCAATGTTACATTATATATGTCTTTCTAAGGACAATACTTTTTTATTCGATAATTAGCTCTAAAAGAATCACAGAAACAAAACAGAACGGCTATTAAATAGGCTCATATAGTTAGACCATTATCCACAAATAAAATTTTGATTTCAGGAGGAACCTGGATATGCATCCCACAATTGTAAATGAATTTCATGTGAAAACTGTAACCATGTCAAGGATACTCTTTAAAGAGCTTGTCATAATAGCGCTTTGCTAGCCTCTGCTCCCAAGATGGATTAGTATCATCTTCTTCAGAACGGATAAACCTTTCAGGGATATCATTCAAATAGCAAATTTGCTATGGTCAAAGCCATGCTAAAAACCAAACAGAATTTCAATAGAAGTCAAAAAAGATATTTCCAAACATATTTCATCTAGATGAATTTTTTTCTTTTTGACAAGGTTACAGAAGAATGGAACTTGAGACGTTGAAATCCAAAAAAGTTCTACCATCATCAACCAACAAGAATCATTTATCATGACTACAGCATGAGGCACAATGTCAAAAAGAGGAAAGCTAAACAGCACAAGTGACATTATGACATGTTTTGAGATGCTTTCCCGAATTTATAAATGCACAAATTTGATCCAGGGATGTCATGAAAGACAAAACATAGAAAATCATCGTACTGTTTTGTTTTGCTGCAAGTTATGAGGCACATTTATGACTATACACAGAGTTTCACCATTAATTTCTTGTGATTTTACATATATTTTTGAAGTATCCAACATGGGTACAGCCGCCAATCTGAAGCAATCTTAGTCTGTAAAATTATTGAAATCGTGCCAACAGGCAGTTAAATTGATAACATAAATTACATTCTGTACATTACGTAAGGCAAACACATTATTAGACACTTAATTATGATACGTTTCGTAGTTTTCCCGATGAATGAAGTCTACTATTCAGCAGGCTCTCCAACTATCACAATCTCGCAAGAATAAACTCAGGTGACAGGATACTTCAACAACATAAAATAATTTGCTAGAAACAAAAAGTGCATCTGACAAATACATTCTAGATGATAAGAAATGCACTCATATTTGTAATCTGGAAATACAGGAAGATTAAAAAATATAAAATATGGATGACAGCCAAACCTGTAGCCCTCTCTAAGTGTATCTTGGTCAGTTTTAAGGGGCAATACATGCTGCTCTCTCCTTCCCTTTCCATAGTACAGTGCTGTGCAGGAAAGGAACACAAGTATATGAATAACTGCACCTACATAAAGCTATATAAAGCATAAAAGAGACAAAGCTACCTAGTGGAAAATTTTCACTCTTGACACCCATTGAACAAAAAATACTGAAAGCGTAAGACAATTTTTTTCCTCGAACCTCAGTGAATAAGAATAGAAAAAGGCGACAACACATTGCAACATAAGATATTACAACATAAGATCACTAATGAATATGCTCTAACTGGAAGCTCATCTGCATGCAACTACAACCATTGCTGGGAATTACAGATAAAAGGAAAATTTGTAATGGCATCAGCATGCACATCCAAACACAAAGCAAATTTGTATATGAAATCATGAATGCAATTCCAATGAAAAATATAAAACAATAAGGTTAAAGCAAGTTATTTTCCTCATCTTCAACAATTCCCATAACTTCAGCATACAAATAAGGGAGTCACCGTTCTTTGTCTCAAACAGGATGCATGCCTTCTCTAGAAACTCCAAATATCATTTCAGAACTAAAGGGTACAGGGGCTAGATAAAGTTCAAAGGAAGAAGAATAAACAGTAAAATAAACAGTAAACAGATGGTTAGTGTTATAAAGAGTTCACTGGCTTTCCTCTAGATTGATGGACATTTCATGGCTATTGCCATTGTAATTGTAGTTTTCAGAGCGTTGAGAAACTGTACCCTTTAACTAGACTTTGTTTGATAATTGATACCATTCAACATCTTTTTTACATTGATAAAAATGATAACCATTCCCTCAAAAACAAAGGAAAAAAACATCAGAGTGGCAAGCATTCTCAATTACCCCATTCACCTGGTAGTGTACCATGGTGGAGGCGTGGAGCTGACTTATAGAAACGTCTAAAAAAGAACAAACAGAAGACTGCAATGCTGCTTATCTATAACATCAAAACTAATCTCAAGTAATATCATTAACAATCACGCTAAACCTCAATTAGACAGTGGCCATTGATCAACCCAACATATCAGAATTTAAGGATATGTGTAGCCCCCTTCGCTTACTTATGCGAGGGAACTGTTCAACATCCTCTATGGCTATTGGATATTAGGGTTCAACAGATATAGAACTTGCTATCTGTCCACTTCCTTAATATCCCTCTCCAAGAGCAAAAAGTGCAAATGTCAGCAAGTCAGAAATATGGAAAACAAAGAAGATGGCCTTTGTCATTTATGTCCAAGGAATAAAAGTCCCTTTTCATCCTTTTAATGCTAAACAATGATTTATCTCAAAAAAATAAAAGTTCCTTTTCATTATTTCCAATAGCAAGCCGAGCTAATGTGGAACAGTGCACATTTGAGTCAGCAGCAATGTTGGAGGACCTACGATGGCTAGTGAGCTAACAATTGTATGGTTCTAGTCTCTACTCATAGGTTCAGACTTCAGATTAATGAAAGAGATACGTGGCAAAAGTTTTACAATGGCTGCCAACCTAACACAACCCTCCTCCTCTCTCTAAGCTTGAGACCAACAACACCAGCTTGGAACCGGTCATGACTCAAAATTGCCATGTCTAGTCTCGAACTTCATACAATGTTTTCATAATTTGTCTAATGCATATATAATGGTGCAAGGTTTATGAAGACTAGCTCTGTATGTTTATGTATCATGTATGTGTGTGTGTGCATAATGCATATATAATGGTGCAAGGTTTATGAACACCAACTCTATGTATGTACGTGTGTGTCTATGTGTAGTGAATATATAATGGTGCAAGGTTTATGAAGATTAACTCTATGCATGGATGTGTACGTGTGTGTGTGTATAATGCATATAATAATGGTGCAAGATTTATAAAGATCACTCTATGTTGTATGTATGTGTATGTGCATATATGAGTGTGTGTGTGTGTATCCATACGTGTGTGCGTATACACATTCCTTAATGTAAATATTCTCATCATCATCATCATACTATTTATAAAGAAAAAAGTGAATTTGATTTATTTCTTAAAGGCTTAGACCTAAAATTGATGGCCGACGTTTACCCGCATTGTTTCTACCCTAAAAAATCAATTTTCTAAGTTCCTTTTTTTTTCTTTTGGGGGGGGGGCAAGGGGGAGGGGGAGGGGAGATTGTTCACTAGGTTCAAGAGATTTTTAACATCGTCATCATCATCCAAGTCATATCCCAACTATGTGGGGTCAGCTACACGAGTCATTTTCCGCCATTCTGCTCTATCAAAGGCCACACCCTCAGTCAAATCATACGTCATCAGATCTCTTCTCACTACTTCCATCCATATTCTTCTTGGCTTTCCCATTGTCCTTTAGAGCCTTCCACTAAAACCAAATCACCCCTCGTAACCAGTGTTGTTCTTGGTCAACGCTACACATGGACAAACCACCTAAGTCTACTTTCCCTCGTGTTATCGCTTATTGGAGCTACCCCTAAGTTCCTTTGGATGTGTTCAATTTGAATTCTGTCATTTCTTGTCTTGCCACCCATCTATCGCAACATCCTGGGCTTAGCTGCACTCGTTCTATGGACATATGTTGTCTCTATGGACCGGCCATGGTGGGTTCAAGAGAGTTTATATGCAAAATTTTGGGCCTAATATAATTCCATAGATAAATTTGTTTAGAAACTAATGCTCTAGGAATTAAAGGTTTGTGTGTGTGAGAGAGAGAGATTGAACCATTGGGCACATTTAAGAGGAATATGATCATTGCTATGAGTAATTTTTATTCGTTTCAGAAACAATACGTGCATTAGATAACACGAGGTGCAATGGTCCACACTAAAAGGAACTATAGCCAAAAACCAACATTATAGTGTTAGCAGTTGATAATTTTTAACAGAGTTTAAACAAACTAAAGGGCTACAAGAGAAATAGTAAAAGCGGAGAATGAACAAGGGATAGGGAAGGAATTTTCATACAGTCATATTTAGTTGAACAACTGGTTTCATTGTTATTTCTCCCCTCAAAAATGGTAAAATTAATAACTAAAAAATAAAATAAAATTCCGCTAATCATAATCCATTATACAGAAACAGTCCATTTAAAGTTATCGCAGAACAATCAACATGTAGAAAAATAAATAGTTAATAACATGAGAGTTATTTAATTCAGTATTGGAGTAAAGCGCAGTTTATACCACCCAAGAAAACTGGCTGATCAAATAATTGAAATATTCTAAAAAAACAGTTTGAATCAACAAAATTCTCATTTTCAGTAACTACATAACAAAATCGATTAAATGTAGCAGGAAAAGAGAAAAAAAAATTTGACAAGAATAGCGATAGTATACCGATTTCAATCAAATCATTGAGGAAATCATCGTACCATAATCTTCAACAAACTTCTTATGTCGATCATACGCATTGAGCCCTCGAATGTGGTTCTGATATTGCCTACAAATCCCAAATATGGTAAGAGATAAATCACGCGAGAAGTAATTTAATTCCTATAAACTAAGTTCAGTTTCTACGAAAACTTCGATAATCAATTAAAAAATAAAATGCGAATTGATGAGTTCAAATTTTCAAATAACAACTCACTGCTTCCGCTCCTCTTTCTCAAATATCGCCGCTTTCACTGATCCAAAAGATGCCATATTTCTGACTCTCTCTCTCTCTCTCTCTCTCTCTCTCGTACGTACTACTCTCTCTCTCTCTACTACACGTACGTACGTACGTACTACCTACCCTAACCCTACCTTACCGTTCGTTCCTTCCTTACC